TGAATGAAATGGATGAAATGAATAGAGTGAATGAAATGGATGAAATGAATGAAGTGAATGAAATGGATGAAATGAATGAAATGGAGGAAATGGATGAAATGAATGAAATGGATGGAATGAGATGGATGAAATGAGTGAAATGGATGAAAAGGATGAAATGAAATGAAATAGCTAATGCCAAAGAATAGTGTAATTAGAAATCACAAGCCATATTTTATATTTACCGTTTATACTCAGCGAACGTATTCAAGGCTGTCCACATAACGTTCAGCAAAAACTGTCGCAAATGATTATTCACGGCCTGCTGAGCTTCCTTATATAACCCTTATGTAACCTAAGACGCTCGTTCCAGGCTTTGCGCACCCAGATAAACGATTATTCACAGAGTAAGCGCCCGAAGCAGAGTGCTTTCGGATGCTTTTAATTGAACTTAACTAAGTGGGTATAGTGAAAATTTTTCTTTCTGATGCTCCCTTTGCTTTGATCCTTATATTTTTTTCCTTCGGTAAATGCACTGAAATAAATAAAAATTGAAAAATTGAAAAGAAAATGAAAAACCGGCACAGGAAAACGTTAATGTTTTTGCTGTCAAGACGTCGTTAACCAAATTAATTTAAACACAAGTAGGATTTTTAACCTGGCCGTTTTTTTAATTTTAACCGCTTCTAGAAATAGATGAAATTAATGTTACGTAACTCATCGTGAAATGAAAATAAAGATTGGACATTTTATTTGAAAACACTAAGTGAATAGTACAGTCTTGCGTTTGTGCTATATTGCACTGCACACGCCGATTAGTCTGGGTTCTTGTTACTCCTTAAAATTAATTTTAGTCTTCAAGGGCGCTTGAAAAGCTCTTGAATTTTAGCAAATCTACTGGAAGTCCTTGAAAACTCCTTGTGATATATCCTACATTGGATAATGGTGATGAACACCATTGTTTTTTGTTGTCACTCGATGATTTTTGAAAATCAATTTCAAGCTAAAATGCATGCTTTTCTAAAGTGTTTTGTATTCTGGGCCTCGAAATGGTCGCAAAAATGCGATATAACTACTAATAAAGCAGGTGCTACTTCCTCGTCATGAGATTCACCTGTTTCAAAAAGCATTATTGTTTGTGGAATTTGCATGATACCTAAGACGATGCACCAGCGAATTTCTCTCAAAAGTGGTGTTTAGATATTTTAAAACTTAGATGGAGTATGTTGTGCGTAGTATTATTATTAATCAACAATCTTCCACTGACTTAAGATTCGTAATTTTATTCAATCCCTCATGATGAGCACGAAAGCTTTGAAATTAAAAATATCAAATGTACTTAGAAGAAAAGTTTTGATTCTGATATAAATTAAAGTTGAAATAATCTCACTTAAATATCAAATGTACTTAGAAGAAAAGGTTTGATTCTGACATAAATTAGAGTTGAAATAATCTCACTTAAATCC